GAGGATCGCCATGAGTTTGAGGTCAGCCTGGACCACATAGGAAACCCTATCTTAAAAAAAAAAAAAAAAATGGGTAGCTCCTTGAGTACTGCACATGCCCTGAGAACACCTTATCACCTTATCTGGCTATTTCATTTTGGCCAAATGCAGAGCTTTCTAGAGTAGCTTTTCAATGGCTGTGCTCACTTGGATTTCATGACAGAGCCTAAAAAATGTTTGGTTTTTTTCCATTAAGTTTATTGGTACATTTAAAGCAAACAGTACAGTTACACTTATCATTGGGATCTTGTATCTTTACATGGTATATCTTGGTTCTTATTTTTTCCCATACACTGCCCTCCCTTCACCCCCTTAACCCTTCCCTATTTACAAAGACTTTGTTTCCATTTTTTTCCTTTTTTCACATATTTTCTTTTCATTATTTCCTTATCCCTCCCCTTCTCACTTCCAAAAAAATGGCTTTAATTTTTTTTTTTAACCACATTTCAGGAAAAACAATTGATGGCTTTAAAGATGGCTCCTTTTCTAACCTTTTCCAACCAGTTTAATAAGCAAACTAGAGGGCGGGGGATTTAGCTCAGTGGTTCTGCTGCCTGCCTTGCAAGTGCAAGGACCCAAGTTCAATCCCTGGTACCTAAATAAATAAATAAATAAATAAATAAATAAATAAGGGCGGGGGAGTGGTTCTGCTGCCTTCCTTGCAAGTGCAAGGACCCAAGTTCAATCCCTGGTACCAAAATAAATAAATAAATAAATAAGCAAGCAAGCAAGCAAGCTAGAGATGGGCGTGGTGGCATGTGTTTGTAATTCTAGCAGTAAGCTGAGGAAGGAAGATTGCTGTGAGTTTGAGGCCAGTCTGGGCTGTTTAGTGAGTTCAAGACTACCTGGAGTAGATAGCAAGTCCCTGAATCAAAAAAAAAAAAGTATGTAAAGTAATTAATATGATTCCCTCTTACCCACCAGTAGTCCCTCTGATTCTTTGTAGGTGAACCAGAAACATACATAAAGACAAAATATTCTGGGTGTGGTAGCACACACTTGTAATCCCAGCACTCAAGAGGCTGAGCCAGAAGGATCTCCGCAAGGTTGAGGCCAGCCTGCTACGTAGCAAGTTCAAGGCCAGCCTGAACTACATAGGGGTAAATACCCTATCTCTTTTTTTGCGGGGAGGGGGGGTACCGGGGATTGAACTCGGGTCCTTGCGCTTGCAAGGCAGGCCACCGAACCGCTGAGCTAAATCCCCAGCCCCAAATACCCTATCTCAAAAAAACCAAAAAAAAAAAAAAAAGTATCACAATAAGTGAAGAAGTTGATGTGAATTATTAATCCTAGAGTGTGCTTTAGGCGCCATTAATTCTACCCATTTCACTATTAAATCAATAATTAGTTGGTCAGAAGATAATTTGTATATAATTTATATATACATAGTTTAATATAGTTGGTTAGAAGATAATACTTTTCTTTTAATTAAAAAAGTACCACAGCATACCAATATTTTACAAGAAATATACATCTTATTGCCACAGCTCAATATAGCAGTTTAATTATTTACTTTTCTTTGATAATTATCTTAATATATCATTTTATAGTCTGCACTTTTTATTGTAAGATAACTTCAGCATAGTCTCCATAATTACACTATTTTAGTCCCTACTTGACACTTTTCTCATTGTTATACTAGTATTTCACAGTTTTCATGTTGGTACTGTTCCAGTTTCCATTACTAAAAATAATGCCACATTGAACATCTTTGATTCAGGGATCCTACTCCCCAAAATAATTCAACAGAGGAAAATCTATGGCACAAATAGTGGGATTTTTTATGATTCTTGACAGAAGCTGTGGCGAAAAAAAATCTCATGGGACCAGCAGTGGTTTTGGAATGACCTTTGCATTAGGAGCTAGAACTTTAAAATGTAGCTTGTTTTAGCAGCTCTGGGAGTGCACTTTGGCTCATGTGGCAGATGCCCAAGAGAGGCAGTGGCAGGGAGGGAAGGTTTGTTGCAGCTCACAGTTTCAGGGGTTCAGTCCATGGGTACATGGTTCTGTGCTTTAGGGACTATGGCAGCACCATGCATCATAACAGGAACACGTGACAGGAGGCCTGGAACTCCTGGTGGTCAGGAAGCAGACACAGGGGATGGAAGAAGACAGAGTTCCAGTATCCCTCACTTCCTACCAGACCCCAGCTCCTGAAGGTTCCAACTTCTTCCCATAGCACCATGACCTGGAAACCAAGCGTTCACTACATGGGCTTTTTAGATATGTTTTAATATGCGTGTATGTGTGTGTGTGTGTGTGTGTGTGTGTGTGTGTGTGTGTTACCAGGGGTTGAACTCAGGACCTGTGCTTGCAGGGCAGGCTAGGTGCCATTGAGCTAAATCCCCGGCCCCTAATATACATTTCGTGGTTCATTACCCCATTTCCCTGGAAATCAGCCCTAGCATGATTTTTTCAGAATGCTTATAATATAATCTCTACCCCCAAAATAAGCCTCAGTTAAGATTGTCAGCCAGGTTTAGCACTTAGTACATCTACTACAACACAGGGGTCATACTGAATTGTGACAATGTTCCAGAAGATGGCCTGGCTGTATTTGAATAAATGTAGATTTTTGTACATGAATAAATGAGTAAGTGTAGATTGTTGTACATGAATAAATGTAGATTGTTGCACATGAAAAAGTAAGACATTCCCTGTAAATAAACCCTATTGTGTCTTGGAGCAAAAACTAATAGGGGAACTAGTCTTATTTCGGGGGAAACACAGTAATAAGATTGAACTGTTTTTCCTGTTTGTCTTTGCCCTGTATTTAGACCATCATTTTCACCCCTGGCCTTTTGTCTGTTACTAAATCATGAAGGTTGATACTTTGCAGTATCACAGAGGATAGTTGCTGTGCACAGTAATTGCGATACTAGACCAGGGATGGTAAACCTTTGAGAGCTTTCAGTGATATGAACAGCCCCCTGTGGCACATGTGCCAGAGGTTCGTGTCTGACAGTGCCTGGATGTAATGGACACAAAGTGAATGTTTGTCTCTCAAGGTATAAAAGTGCAAGTATATTATATCTTTATACCTCTTCTTTCTCAGCCTTGAAATTGAGAAAATCTGCTTCTTTTGTTATTGAACATACTGAAAACAAAAAAAAAAAAACACTTTTTTTTTTGTACCAAGAATCAAACTCAGGACCTTGGGCTTGCCAGGCAGGTGCAGAGCCACTGAGCTACATCGCAGCCATAAAAGCAAATTATTGATGCAAGTACTTTGATGGAACTTCAGTGTTTTCAAATGAATTATTGACCACATATGGGGAAACTAGGCTCTGACACTGATTTGTGTGGTGCTAATTATAAAAGTCTCTATGTATACAAGAGTCTTTAGTCACAATAAGAAAAATAATTGAATAAATATAATGCAGCTAAGCTGGGCATGATGGCACATGCGTGTAACCCCAGCATTCAGGAGGCTGAGGCAGTAGGATCACTGTGAGTTCGAGACCAGCCTGCGCAACATAGTGAGTTCCAGGTCAGTCTCAACTACATAGTGAGACCCTGTATCAAAAAAAAACAAAAACAAAAAATAAGCCAGGTGTGGTGGCACACCTATAGTCCCAGCTATTCGGGAGGCTGAGGAGGGAGGATCACTTGAGTCCAGGAGTTCTGGGCTGCAGTGCGCTATGCCGATTGGTGTCCGCACTAAGTTCGACATCAATATGGTGACCTCCCAGGAGCAGGGAACCACCAGGTTGCCTAAGGAGGGGTGAACCGGCCCAGGTTGGAAACAGAGCAGGTCAAACCCCCCCCAAAAAATATATATATAAAATGCAGCTGCCTCATCTTTAATATTTCCATAAGTTTATTCTTTCCTGAATTCAAGTTTATGTCAGTGTATATTTTTTTGTGTATGCTTTTTTCATTTCTTCAGTTATAAGTTTTGTAAGGGCAGAAATGGAATTCTATATAAGTTAATTAGTCACCACCATATACTAGTTGATAATTGTCCTAGAGAGTTCAGTGGTCTTGGTAGATGGGAAGTAGATAAATTTTAATGCATTGTAATATATAATGTGATAAAGCTGATTACAAAGTACTGTAGAAACAGCTAGATTAAATTTTCAATTATAAACTCTGTCACAGAGGGAATGACATTTCACCTGGGTCTTGATCAATAAATAGGTATTGTATAACTGTTGCCTTGTCCTTGTCTTTCTACTAGATTTCTTCAAACCCATCTATCTACCTTTTACAATTGCTCAATACTGGTAGCACTGAGCTGCTGGCAAAAAAATCACAAAGTGGGTATAGCATGTTGCTTTTAAAAATTTAGGGTTTCTAGCTTCACTAGATACTAGAACATATTTTTTAGAACATACACATATTCCTTCTTTTTAGAATGCATTTCTGTCCTTATCTGCTGAGAGTATGCTTTTTATCCTTAAAAATTCAGCTCAGCTATTATTTTGTGAACATTTTATGATGTTCAATTGTAATTGGATTTCCACTATATATACCTTATGTATAATCTCTGTGGTGGTATCAGTCACATTGAATTGTGATAATTTATCAATCTGTCATACTAGACAGCTTTCTGAAGATGATTTATTTCATCTTTATTGTATATTTCTGGCTTCACAGGGATTCAGTAGAAATACACTTTCCTTGGGGGGAAAAAATAATTGAAGGTAATTATATTTCCATTTCAAAAAAATCTCTAATGCCAATATGCCTTTCAGTATGATACAAAAGGGTTTTTGTTTATGTTTAGTTATTTTTAGCTTACCAAAGTTGCAGTCTGTCATCAAAGATAACTGAGAGTATTTGGTTGATCGTATTTTCCTTCCTAATTGTGGACTTTAAAAGCCTATTTTTGCCAGCCTGGTGCCACATCTCAGCTCCTCTCGAGGCTGAGGCAGAGGGAATCCTCTGCGAGACCTCTTTTCAAACAAAGAACCAAAAACACACTAAAAGTTTGTTTTGTTCTCCTTGCTTTTCTCTAGGTGAAAAAGGCCTTTTTTGCTTTGGTAGCCAATGGTGTCCGAGCAGCGCCACTGTGGGAGAGTAAAAAGCAGAGTTTTGTAGGTGAGCAGTGTGGGCCTGGGGAGGATGGGACTTGGGAGGGTGACCTTCAGGTGTGGCACCCCCAGGCTTATCACTGGGCGGGTTTGACATCAGCCTGGTAGACCTTTTACCAAATTTTGGTTTTTTTGTTTGAGACATGATCTCAGTTTGTAGAGCAAGCAAGCTGGCCTTGAATCCACTGTGTAGCCCATGCTGGCCTCAGGATTATGGCAATCCTCTTGCCTCAGTCTTCTGAGTGCTGGAATTACAGGTGTGTACCACCATGCCTAGCTGTGTCATCTTTTTTTTTTTGGTACCGGGGATCGAACTTGGGACCTTGTGCTTACAAGTCATGTGGTGGCACCACTGAACTAAATCCCCAGCCCTGTGTCCTCACTTTTGCATCCTGGATAAATTCAAAACGCTATCTATCACACTTCAACTGAATTCCTTTTTTTTTTTTTTTTGTACTGGTAATTGAACTCAGGTCCTCATGCTTGCCAGGCAGGCATTGCACTGTTGTGCTACATCCCTAATCACAGTTGAATTTCTTTTCATTTAGCAACTTTTGGCCCAGATGCCTTTATTAGCCCTGGGAACCAAATCTTCATAGATGCAGAGAACAGACTCAATTTAGTACCCCACCCTGGGCCAGTCCATTGAGTTGCGTGACAGCTAAGCTCTGTCACTGTCTGTCATCTTTCTTTAGACAGGGCAAATGAAAGGTGTGAATGTGCTGGGTGTCCTTACTGTTCACGGTATTGTATAACTTACATTTGTTTAAACACTCATTCCTCACCCAGTAAATCACAGGAGATGTAATGACACTGTTACTGTCTATCAAGATTCAGCTCAATATTTTGTAATTGCCACCACTAATGGTAGTCCACACCTGTAATCGTAGCACTCAGGAGGCTGAGGCAGGAGGATCGCCACGAGTTTGAGGCCAGCCTGGGCTACACAGTGAGTTCAAGGCAAAGCCAGCCTGAACTAAATAGTGAAATGTTGTCTCAAAAATCAAACAAACGAACAAACAACCCCTGCTTATGTCTGCCTCCCCCTCTAGATTATAATTTTCTCAGGGAGAAGCTTTCTCATCTATGCAGTCCTGGTGTGTGGCTCAGAACAGGTACAGAGTGACTGACAACCCTGTTAAAACCACTGTGTTTAGAATTCCAGGGCCGGGGATCTAGCTCAGTGCTACTGAGCCTGCCTTGCAAGTGCAAGGTCCTGAGTTTGATCCCTGGTACCAAAAAAAAAAAAAGAGAATTCTTCTTAGGTGTCACAGCGCTGAGGCTTATGGGATCCTTTCTCTTACTTTATCAAATTACACTTATTTTATAGGTCGTTCCCAAGTAGCTACAATTCTTTTTTGATATTTCTTAACAGTTTTCTCTCATTGATTTGCCACATACTTTGATGAATTCCAAACTTTTAATCAAGTTTAGTTTCAGCTACATTTTGATCTAGTTTGGAATAAACAATAAATTAACAGCTTTAAATAATGTACTAAACTGTTCTTAAGGTTGTTAAACTATGTCATATAAGCTTTTTAATAAACATTGTAGGTTTTGTTTGGGGGGGTTTTTTGGGGGGGTGGGTTTGAGACAGGGTCTCACTATGTAGTTGAGACTGACCTAGAACTCACTATGTAGCCAGTTATACATTGTAGGTTTAATGTCATATAAAGTTTTCTGTGATGTATCTATAGTTTTGTTTTTAACATCTAATTCTTTATTCCAGGAATGCTAACAATCACAGATTTCATAAATATACTACATAGATACTATAAATCACCTATGGTAAGTGGCAGCAATCTTTACCATCTTTTACTAATTAGCACTGTATATGTCTATTGTGTAGAAGCTGTGGCTGTGTCTTGAGATATTTTTGGTACAGGGTTGTAATGGTTGATTTTCCAAATAAATATAGTATAAGGAAGTTCAGTATAAAACTACTACCTGAAACCAGGCATGGTGATTATCTTAGCTTGTTTTCTCATTGCTGAGACAAAATACCTGCCACCCAAAGTGAAAGGAGGAAAGGTTTATTTAGCTCACAGTTTGTAGAGGTGTCAGTCTATAGTGGGCTGGCTCCAAGGCAGAGTGGCATGAAAGACAGGCATCATAAGGAACAGCTTATGGCAGGCAGAAGGCAGCAAAGCAGTGAAGCAGCAGCAGCAGGCCTGCCTTTTTTCTTCCTCTTTGTGTCCATCCAGGCTACCTGCCCTTTGGGTGGTGCCACCCACACCCAGGATGGGTCTTCCCATTATCCACACCCAGAATTATGCCAGACCAGCCAGTGGACTAATTTAGTAATCGTACACCCTAATCCCAGCACCACACACCTAGATCCAGCCACCTGTGAAAAGCTCCACCTATGACCACATGAGGCTTTGTGGGGGGCAATCTCGACACAAGCCATAACAGTGGCACACACCTGTAATCCCAGCACTCAGAGGCTGAAGCAGGATGATCACCACAAGTTTGAGGCCAGTCGGGGCTACATTTAGAGTTCAAGCCCAGCCTGAACTACATAGTGAGACTCTTATTCAAAAAAACAAACAAACAAACAAAACAAAAGAACTATAAACCCTAGTAAACAGCCCGCTTTACTCTAAGTTATACATTTGCAGCTTTTTTTTGTTTTTCCACTAACAGGGATCAAACTCAGGACCTTGAGCTTGCCAGGCAGGTGCCAGCACCACTGAGCTAAATCCCCAGCCCCTATACATTTGCAGCTTGAAGGAGGAATTCTCAGGAAAAGTCAAAAGGAATAGCTGCTTTGTTCAGCTGTTGCAGGTCCTCTGGTCAGGAGAATTCCGCACGATTACTTATACCCAGAGCATCTCCGTGTCACGCCAGTTTGTTACCCAACCTCTGGCAGCATGGAGTTCAGAGCCTGTCCACCGCACCTGCGCAGGTGGCTGGCCCAGCAGGGTGACAGAGCTGGGTGCTCTGAACCATATGGTCTGTATGGTTTTTACTTTTTTTACTTTTTTTTGGGTACCAAGGATCAAACTTGGGTCCTTGTGCTTGTGAGGCAGGTGGCAGAACCACTGAGCTAAATCCCCAGCCCTAGGTTGTGTAGTTTTAAGGTAGAAAAAAGAAATGAAAATTAAAATTGAAGAGATTCTGTTTGGACTTTGTTGTGCTGATAAGGAAGAGACACTGGATGATGTCAGTGGCAGATCCCTGGCACCTGGTCCAGCTATTCAGGAAAAGCAGTTGGGAGACCACTTCTGTCTTCTAACAATGGGATATGTGTGATTCTGACAGCTTTCACTTGGTTGTCATTTGTTTTTGAATTTTGGGAAGTACAGAGTTGTATACTTCATTCAACTAGTAGTGCCAGGGGTATTTAAAAGTTGTAAGTCAACCCACTAAACACTTGTTTTGTTTTTGTTTTGAGACAGGGTCTTGCTACGTAGTTCAGGCTGTCCTTGAACTCACTGTGTAGCTCAGTCTGGCCTCAAACTCCAGACAATCCTTCTGCCTTGCCCTCCCAAGTGCTGGGACTGCAGGTGTGCACCACCATGCACAGTTGAAATGCTGTGCTTGTGTGACAGTTACCCAGCATGGACAATGGGATACATCTTCAAAAATATCATCAGTTGAAGGCTGGGGATTTAGCTCAGCGGTGCCCTTGCCTCCCTTGCAAGCACGAGGTCTGAGTTCAATCCCTAGTACCAAAAAGAAATATCACTTGATTTTGCCTTTGTGGGAGTGTGGTAGAGTGTTCTTACATGAACTATGACAGCCACGGAACTTCTGGGTGATGACAGAGTTGGGGCCACAGTCACACACATGGCCCATTGTTGACCAAAATGACTGTAATTCAGTTCCTCCATAAAATACAAAATTAATTTATTCATAAGATATATACTTAGAATGAAGTTTTACCTGGGCTCCATAGTGAGCTCAAGGATAGCCTGAGCAAGACCCTGAGTCAAAAGCAAACAAGCAAAAAAAAAAAAAGCAAGAAAAATTTTACCGGGGACTGTAAATATTGTTATATCACATGATACACATGATTTCTTAAACCCTACTGATCACACAAATACTGGTTGTCTTTATATTGATCATGTCTTTGCTCTAGGACTATCAGAATCAGCACAAGTATGATTTCTTAAATGGAGAGATGTCACTGGGAATGATAGCGCATATCTGTGATCCCAGCATTCAGGAGGCTGAAGTAGGAGGGTCACTGAGAGTTGAAGGCCAGCCTGAACTACATAGCAAGACCTAGTCTTACAAAACCATAAATAAATAAATAAATAAATAAATAAAAATAAATAAATAAATAAATAAATAAGGAGATGTACAGAAAGTTCTGCCAAAATCCCACATAACAAACCTCAGCAGTAGGTTTTTTTTTTGTACCAGGGATTGAACTCAGGACCCTCCACTTCGAGGCAGGCACAGCAGCACTGAACAAAATCCCCAGCCCACAGCATTAGTATTTTATTAGACCAAAATTTAAAAGTAGTTAGATCTAGGGCTGGGGACTTAGCTCAGTGGTTCCACTACCTGCCTCACAAGCTCAAGGACCCGAGTTCGATCCATGGTAACCCCCCCAAAAAAAGAAAATTTAACCCTAGTTAAAAGTAGTTAGATCTAAATTTATAGCCTATATTATTTTTTCTTGATACTTGAAGTTATGTTTTTACACTATATTTCCCCTCATCTGCATGAAACAAGTAATCAGAAAATTATGAAAGCTCTATTTTATTCCATGTTCTATGTAACTTGTTCCTGTGTTGTATGTGTTACCATTTTATAAATTAGAATTTGTCTTATTTTCAGGTACAGATTTATGAATTAGAGGAACATAAAATTGAAACATGGAGGGGTAAGCACCACTGGGTTTAAAAACCTTTCATATCCAGAAGAAAATGTTAGGCTTAGTGTGTAAAGTATGTCTTAATAGTGCAGATTCTTTTTGCACTGCTTAATAACATGTTAAGCAAAACATTCTGCTTATTTCTGTCTCTGCGTGGGGAGTCCGCCATGTTAACACTAAGGCTGGGGATGGGCTGTATGATATGCTGGGATGCCAGGTGCACAATCTGTCCCCTAGCTAGCATCCTCGGAAATCTGCCTCTGAGCCAGGCGCATGCCCATGATCCCAGCACTTGGAAGACTGAGGCTGGAGGATCACCATGAGTCCAAGGCCAACCTGAACTGTATAGCAAGATCCTGTCTCATAAAGCAAAATAAAACAAAAAGAAATGGAGAAAGCAACTGAAGGAAAATTTCAGATTTGAAATTGAAGAGTCTGAATTTGCATTTCTGTAGTATGTTTGACAGGTTAAGCAAGTATGTAACTGGCTGAGAAAATTAAACATCCATTAGGGTTCCCAAAAACTCTACAGCCCTTTTAATTCCATACGAGTTATATTTATTATGGCTTTTTAGAGCCAAGCAAAATGAATTCAGTCAGTGTGAGACCATATGGCCTGTAGGAAAGGCTTATGTAACTTAACACCCGACACATTCTTCCCATTGAAGCCTAATGTCCAAGTTCTATGGGCTGAACCCTAAGCATATTTACATCTTGCCATACATAATATTTGGTAGTAGTAATGATAATACCCAGATATTCTCAAATGCCTTTTGTATATAAACTTCATAAAGCAAACTAATTACAGTTTATAGCTCTTCAAGGAAAATTTGTTTGCTAGGAAGATTCTCAAGATGCAGTAGGTTTTGAACATTCATAAAGAAAATAAATCAAGAACATTTGAGGAACAGTTTGTTATAACTGATTTTATCTTACAGCTGATAAAAATTGGCTTTAAATGATTTTATAAATGCTTCCTTTCTGAGGATAATTTTGCTTGATGGCATTCTAGTGACCTCTGCTGGTGTTGTGTGTTTGATTTCTTAATTTTTTTTTCCTGATGTTACATTTATTGAAATACTATTAACTGTTGAATTTTTCTTCAAAAGCAACAGCCTGAAAATGGTTGAAATTAGTTAAAGTAACTAAGACTTTAATTAACAACAATAGTTTTGGATAAGTTAAATTCCTATTGATTTGGAGTCATAATTCTTGTAATTATCTTTAAACTGAAGGATATTGAATTTATTGTATACTGACAGTAGCAAACATGTTATTAACTGCATATTTTCTTTTTATAAATACAGAGCTTTATTTACAAGAAACATTTAAGCCTTTAGTGAATATATCTCCAGATGCAAGGTAAACTTGTAGATTTTTTTCTACTGAAAACATTCATTCTGATATCTGTTTTATAACCATGACAGCAAAATAGAGACAAACCAACACATGTGGTCCACAGTCCAGGTAAAGCCAGCCTTCTTAACTCCAAACCTTAATTTCCGTAAATGTAGGGACATTTGCAATTACAGCCACTCTTAGTTCCAGGCAACAGCTAGGAAACTGATCACCCTAAGCATTTTGAAAAATCCAGACCTGGAGCAGGATCAGTAGGGAGCATGTTAAAGTTACCTAGTCCTAGCTGGGTGTGGCAGTGCAAACCCGTAATCCCAGCACTGGGGAAGCTGAGGCAGGAAGGTCACAAGTTCAAGCCCATCCTGAGCGATTTAGAGACTTGAGACCCTATCTCAAAATTTTAAAAAATAGAAAATGGCTGGGGATGTAGCTCAGTGCAGCCAATTGTCAGTACTGAAAAAACAAAAGATACTGCTGTGTGGCTGGGCACAATGGGTCACACCCATAACCCCAGCTACTCAGGGGCTGAGACAGAGGATCACGAGTGTGAAGCCAGCCTAGGCAACTTATCAAGACCCTGTCTCAAAAACAAACCCACAAAAGATGTGTAGCTCACACTTAGATTTGAGATATAGTAAGAGATTGTGGAAACCAAGTTAGTGGAGGTCTCCAATTTTAACCCTCCCATGCTGTTTTAATTTGATCAACCTTTTATTACGGAGACATAAAAACGATTGAAAGCAAGGGTGTTCCAGAGCTTTCTGGTTTCTCTTCAAAGCCTCCTAACAACTTTAATGGCTTTTCCTGCAGCCTCTTCGACGCTGTATACTCGTTGATCAAAAATAAAATCCACAGATTGCCAGTCATTGACCCTATCAGTGGGAATGCACTTTATATCCTTACCCACAAAAGAATCCTCAAGTTCCTCCAGCTTTTTGTAAGTAGTTTTGAGTGTTCATAAAGAATAGTTGCCTTTATTTTCATTTACTTTAAATCTGTTGGCTCCTGTTACTCTCAGTAGCAGAAATCAGTAGTTTTGAGGTCTGCTGTTCTAAACTTTAATTTCTCAGCTTAGTGCTATTTGAATGATATATTCTTAAAATTTATTCCAGCTGGGCATGCTTGCAATTCCAGCACTTGGGAGGCTAAGGCAGGAAGATTGCCAGTAGTTTGAGGCCAGACTGGGCACACAGTGAGTTCAAGGCCAGCCTGAACTTCACAAGACCCTGCCTCAAAATTAATTAATTAATTAATTAAAAAGGTGATTCCAATTAAAAATCAGTCACCTTTCCATACAAGAATAAAAATAATGACAACATTTGCAATTCTTCATCTAAATTAGAAGATTATTATCACCTAACATACAAGGGGCACTAAAGCTGGTCTGTTTAATTGAAATCCACTGCACAAGATAAACTGAGCCGGTACTTAGGGAAGAAATTGTTTCATGATGTGTTTATTGGTGTCATGATTTTTAGAAATCTGATCCAAAAATACTGTCCCTGAGATAATCCTGTTATAAATTAAAACAGTACCAGAAAATCCCAAAGCAGATACAATTTTGGCAGGAGAATAAATACCATGTTGGTCCAAATCAGGCTTGTGTTGCCTGAAGGTTTTCTCCGCTCCCTGTGAGATGAGCTGGCTTCGGAATCATCCAGAACCTGAAGGCTTTTTGCTGGGCAGTATCAAAAGCAGCAAGGCGCAAGCAATGGAGACTGCACCATGGGCCAGTATACTTTCCATTTAATTCCATGCACTAAATTTGAGGTTAAAGTGATCGGTCAGTTAGAAGCAGTGGGAGAAACCTGTTCTTCAGAAGAGGTCACTTGAAAAGTCACTTTTTCTATTAAGCACCTGCTTCCCGGTATGGGGCTCCATGGAGCAGAGGGTCTAGTGATTGGGAGACCTTGTCCATCAGACTGGTCCTGTGTCTTAGCAGACTCCATATATAAATCAATAAATGCTACATAGGAAGGTAGAATGGAGAAGAGTAATTTACCAAAAACAAAAGTTTAATAAAATCTAAGAAAAAAGAATGGGGGGACAGATCAGCATAGCCTCCCAAAGTACATTCCTTAGAGGCAGCTGCCTCAGTAACGGAGACCCCACAGGAGAGAAGGCACATTTCAGGGCCACGTATGCTGGGCCTAATACTCCTTTGTCTTAAGAGTCTGATTCCAAGAAGACATGAGCCCCGAGCCCTGGTCATTGTATGTCCAGCTCTGTCCTCAGCCCCTGACATGCTAGATGTTGCCTTCATGACCACCCTGTCAGGTCAATATTGTTATCAACCCATTTCATAGGGGAGGCAGCTACATAAGGAGGTTCAGCCACATGGCCAAGGGATGGGCCACGAGTGTAGCATCTGATTGTGTGGCCACCTTGCAAACCTCTGATGGATTATCACTGCTAGCGCTGGGGTCTCCACCAAGGACTCTCTCTTACTCCCAAGCTGGGACCACCTCTGTTGTCATAAGATCGCTCCTCTGCAGAACTGCTTCAGACTTGTCTATAAAAACAGGTTACCAGACGTGGTGGTACCCACCTGCAATCCAGCCCTTGGAAGGCTGAGGCTGGAGGATCACTGCAAGTTCAAGGCCAGCCTGCACTACCTATGAGTTCAAGGCCAGCTCAGCTACATAATGAGAAACTGTCTCTACATAAGCAGAGGAAGTTGCCTCTGCCCAGGGCTGCCTTATATTTGGGCCAATGTGGTAATTAGAATCATGCCACTGGAATATTCAGCTACAAGTTCTCAGATAAAAATACAGAATTTAAAGAAAAAAACTTTCATGGCCTGATGTTTACTGAGTTAACGAATCACTTTCCAAGACAAGTAGCATTAGCCTTCAAGACCTCACAGGTTAGTGGAGCATAGCATGTAGAACAGGGACTATCCTGCATTGAGATACACTAGGCAACCTAATAGGTCTTTCTTTTTTTTTTCTCTAAATTTCTAGGATTCTCATGATTTGAATATTGATGAACTCTTTGACTTGAACATTTTGTTTCTTCTAATTGTTCATCTTTTCCTGATAAGGTACACCAGGAGGATGGAATCAACAATACCCTTTATAAAAGGTGGATCTTTTGAAACCATAGAACTTATTTTGTTAGAGCCAAACATGGTCCTCGACTTCCCTCTGCTGACCTATTCCTCCTCTAAAATAGCCATACAGAGGAACCATAAAGGTTCTCTTCATTCTGTTCAACTGGCTTGTTCTTTGATCCTAGTAGACAAAGACTGGCATCCTCCAGAGAGAAGGAGGGCATGGAGGTGGGACAGCAAGGATGGGGTTGGTGGCCTCGGACACCGTCCATTGCCTCGGGCTTGGAGCTGCCGGGCTTCTTAACTATGACTCCACACTGGCAGCTGTGCCTGGCACTTGACACAGATAAGTAAGATCAGGTCTGTTCTTGGTGGTTCACAGGTCTTAATTTCTCAAACAGACCTGATGACTCCTTCTAGCCATGCTTTTGTGAATGAATAGGAGAAATGTTACAATGCATATGCAACTCATAGCCAGACAGACTGGTCTGAAGGAAAGATTCATTTCTGGCCTGTTCATCCTAATTGAGACAGCCATGCAGACACGTAGCTTTTCACTCAGACCTGGACTTGTGAGCTTTCTTCAGAGGGCTTTAGGGGTCCCAGAACCTTTGGTTTCTCTCTGTCTCAGATGTCCGACATGCCAAAGCCCGCCTTCATGAAGCAGAACCTGCAGGAGCTGGGGATAGGAACCTACCGCAACATTGCCTTCATCCACCCAGACACGCCCATCATCAAAGCCCTGAACATATTTGTGGAGAGACGGATATCAGCGCTACCTGTAGTGGATGAATCAGGTCTGTTGTTTTCCCCAGTTTAACTGCATTTTCATACTTCCATCAAGATATGATTTCATACCTAGGTGTGGTACACACCTATAATCTCAGCACTCTGGAGGCTGAGGCAGGAGGATCATAAGTATTCGAGGCCAGCCTAGACTACATATGAGTTCAGGGCCAGCCTGAACTATATACCGAGACCCCCATCTCAAAAACAAATAGAAAGATATCATTTTGTGTCTATTAAAATAGACAAGTTTATCTGTCTTCCATCCTTAGTAATTATCTATTTAAGACTGACTTTAAAATGAGTGGGTTTGTTGGGCCAAGGATTTAGCTCAGTGGTGCCACCGCCTGCCTCACAAGTGCAAGGTCCCAAGTTCAATCTCCAGTACAAAAAAAAAAGAGGGATTTTTGTTGTTCCTAAAATATTTTTCTAACATGTGTTTTCATTTTTAGGAAAAGTTGTAGATATTTATTCCAAATTTGATGTAATTGTAAGTATTTTTTCATTTTCTTTAAATCTGTCATTTTGAATGCATTTTAAATCCTGTGCAGTGTGTTTTGTTTTCCTCTGGTTCCCTGACTTCATAATTTCCTGTTTTGAGTCTCAGGACTAGAGAATGCCATACTCTTCATAGTGATCATACTTGTAATGTTCACTGGCTTGGCAGTTAGTCATACACAAGTATATATTATTATTTGTAATTCATCGTGTCAGTATCTGTATATTGTACCCAACCCTGTAGCACACAAATACATTGTAAATGCTGGTATGTGTATGTGAGCATCATTAGCCTGCCTGCAGACGTGAGCTTTGTGTACGTGTGAGTCCACTCAGATCCATGCATGTGGACTTGTTAGATGCAGTCTGTTGCTGGCTCATTGGTGTCATTGTTCTAAAGAAGATAGCAAATGAAAAAAAGAAAAGAAGATGACAGCAAATGGATTAGAGTTACTCATTTAACAGAGTTGTAGTGAGTGCTGCATTCGAATCCCTGATTTCAGTCTACTAGGTTCATTGTTGTTGACATTACGTCTTTCCATTTGACTCTTTTCTCCCCATCTATGCATGAATATACTTAAAGTTTTACGGTGCCTAAGAAAGGGAGCCCATACTTCGATCACCCCAAGTGTACACACCAACCTTTTTGGCTGTGACATTGACCCTGGTATTGAATGTTCTTTCACAGCTGTCTTAAATCTTTCAGGTCAGCCTTATGATTAACATAACAGACACCAAAATATCTATTAATTACAATGTGGCTGCAGTGGGACCCTAAGATGCCATCTGGGTCCATAGGACTTCCTGGGCCTGTTCTTCCACCAGTGCTTGACCTTGATGGTTCCCCAAAACCCTGTTTTCCAGGAAGCCCCTTGGGAAAGTCCATTGATATTAGGTCCCATCCTCTGGAGGCACTGTGACCCTCACAGATGTCAGGCCACCTCCCCAAGAATGTCATTCACACACACAGGTTTTGACAGGATATGCTATAAAAATTTACCATACTGGGCCAGGGATTTAGCTCAGTGGTGCCACACTTTCTTGGCAAGCACAAGGTCCTGAGTTCGATCTCCCAGTACCAAGGCTATAAGTTTATTCTGTGGCTCTGTTCTAGAATCTTGCTGCTGAGAAAACCTACAATAACCTGGACATCACCGTGACACAGGCTCTGCAGCACCGATCGCAGTATTTCGAAGGTGTGGTGAAGTGCAGTAAGCTGGAAACACTGGAGACCATTGTGGACAGGATAGTGAGAGCCGAGGTGAGGCCCAGGCCCCTGCCCACCACTTTCCCCCCAAGTTTCCTGGAACAAACACCCCATGGCAAATGGCACCTCATGAACTTGTATCCCCAAAAAGGCCCAGCAAGGTGACTTTTGTGCTCTGTCAGAGAGAGTCCTGTTCCAGAACGTTCTGTGGGAGCTGTTCTGGACAGGGCTGTTGGATTTGGCTGCATTGGGTTTCAAGTCCAGATATCCACAGCTAATTGAAAAGGACTGGTGAAATGCATACTTGAGAAAAGTCACCCCAAGACCTTTAGGTTCTGTTAGGGTACCTATGAATTCAGAATTTTAGAGATATAGTTATTTTAATAAAGTGACTCATAAATCAGTAAAACAAAGCAACCATTATTTCAAGTTAATTAATTTCCCCTCTTCCCCTAGTCTCCCCTGCTCTGCCTTTTTTTTTTTTTTTTTTTTTTTTTTTTTTTTGGTTCGGGAGATTGAACTCGGGCCCTTGAGCTTGCAAGGTAAGCAGTGGAACCACTGAGCTAAATCCCTGGCCCTAGTCTTCCCTGATTTAGCCAAATAGTAAGTGGTCCACTGCCTCAGTCTCCTGGGATCCAGCACTCACAGCTCTGTATGGAGGATTTTCAGGGCTACTCTGCACAGCACCCTGTAGAGAAAAGGAGAGGGGTCATGGTACAGCAGGCCCAGCAGGCTCCCCCCACACAATCCCACAGCTGCTCCTTTCTGCTTAGACAGGGAGGGGAATGCTGTCCTACTCATCATTCTTGAGGACTGAAGGAACAACTCCATTCCTTCTGGAACAACTCCTAATTAGGCAGAGATTTCATAATGACCTTCCGTTTTCATATTACTGTAATTGTGACAGTAAAACCCAGCAGCAAAGTACCTGATTATTTTTCCAGCTAGTAATAGGCAACATCATTACTAGAAATCTGCAGTCCTCCTTTAATTGTGTGTTCAAGATAGGAGAAACTGCCTGAGAGCACACACTGCACAGGACTAATAGCAGCTGCTCCTGGTGGTAGCGTCCCTTCTGGTCACACCAGCGGTCACACGAGGATGGGGGGGGGGACACAGGGACATGGACAGTGCCCAGCCTCTGCTGTGGTCATTTGGCAGTGTAGAAAGCTCTGATGTGGAAGTCGTCACTGAGGAAAACAAAGATGTCATTAGACCATTTTTTTCAAGTTACCCATCTTGACTTTTTTCCTCAATAAAATTCTACCATTACATGCCTCCTCCCAGGGATATATCAGTGTTTAGTTTCTATGCACTTTGTTAGGAGAGGGCCAATAGGACTAGTGAAGACTCGGTTTTTTTGTTTTTTGTTTTTTGTTTGTACCAGGGATCAAACTCAGGACCTTGCTCTAGCAAGGCAGGCAGCAGAACCACTAAGCTAAATCTCCTGCCCTGAGACTCAGTTTTTCTAAGTGACAAATGATGTTAACTTTCTGGCACCTCAGCAGGGAACATTTGTGAGATTAGACTTGGCAGCAGATGACAAAAAAACACATTTGGTGCCCATTTCTGTCAACCTCTGGGTGACATGATTTCTCCTTGACCCACAATAGATCAAAAGATATTTAATTACCACTGTTGAATGTTAATAAAATATGTCTAGCATAGAATATAAAAATATCCTCTGATCCCAGATATTAACCATCAATTTAATTTATAGTTAGAGCAAATAATTGTGCAGCATTACAGGATTACTGAAGGAACTGAATATCTTACTAGAGAAGCTTTTTAAAGAAATTTTTGTTGACTCACGTGATAAAGATGACCATATAACTCATTTTTCTAACCTAAAGCAAACTATGATGTCAAGAGTATCAGCAACATAGATCATTGGAGACCAGATATTAAAACATGCTGGGCCTGGTGGCACATGCCCGTAATCCCAGCACTTGTGAGGCTAAGGCAGGAGGACTGCCATGAGTTCAAGGCCAGCTTGGTCTACATGGCAAGAGCCTTTCTCAAAAAAACAAACAAACAAACAAAAAACCAGCATGTCCCCTTCAGTCCATCTCCTTCTTGTATCCCCTTTTTGTCCTCAATACTTGCAGGGTCTCCCAGGTAACCAGCTGCTGTCTCTCTTGCCTGCTGTTGTTGCTGGAAACCACCAGATATTCTCCACACTGTAAAAGATTTTAGATTAGAAAACTAGAGGTGAACATTATCTGTTTCACTGTTAACAGTTCATTTATCCTCTTTGATGTTATCCTTTAATATATGGTCCCCCCCCCCGCCTGCCTCAAAAGCACAAGGACCCGAGTTCAATCCCCGCTACCAAAAAAAAAAAAAAAAAAAAAAAAAAAAAAAAAAAAAAAATCAGATGCTCACACCTGTCATCTCTACCCTCTAGGAGGCTGAGGCAGGAACCCCAAGTTTCAGCCCAGCCTGGACAACTTAGTGAGACTCTGCCTCAAAATAAAAATGAGGGGGATGTAGTTCAATTTGAAAGCCCTGGGTTCAATCCTCAGTAACGCATATAATGTTAATCTTAAAAGCAGAGCCAGGCTTAGTAGCGCACAGCTATAATTCCAGCACTCGGGAGGCTGAGCAGGAAGATCATGAGAGTTCCAGGACAGCTTGGGTTACATAGAAGACTCTGTCTCAAGAAAATAAAATCTTAAGAGTAATGACCCTGTTTCCTGGTTTCCATAATCATCTGGACTTCTTTCCCATTTGAAGCAGGTTGCCCACTGCTTGCTAGAAGCTGAGATACAACTTTACAAAATTATTTGAGATTATTGTAACCGCTTTGTGGCTCTGTTTTGAACTGTAGCTTTCCTGCACTGCTCTTGTGGCATCTGAAATCTTGGCAGGACATGGCTGGCTTGTTTCTCTTAGGACCAGACACATCTGAGGTGCATCTTAACTTTGGAGCCAACACTTCCTGTGGCTCAGGCCACAGTCACTTGCTGTCCCTGGTGGGGCTGTGCGTCGTGGGCTGGTATGTGAAGGGCGCTTGCCCAGTGTCCATTTTGAAGCTGAAACATCCCATGTGGCCTGTCTCCCTCCTGCAGGTACATCGGCTGGTGGTGGTGAACGAGGCCGACAGTATTGTGGGCATCATTTCTCTGTCTGACATCCTGCAAGCCCTGGTCCTCACACCGGCAGGTAATAGTGCCCATCTGCTTTGTCAGCCAGGAGACTGGACGCTCAGAGCAGTGATACCCACCTGCCGATGGGGGTTTTACTCTACTTTGTGACCCATTTTCATTTTCTTTTCAGTTTTAAAATTTTATTTTATTTTTTTGTTTGTTTGTTTTAAGACAGGGTCTCAGCATGGAGCCCAAGCTCCCTTCAAACTCTTGGTGATCCTCCTGCCTCAGCTTCTCAAGTTCTGGGATTATAGGCTGCGCCACCACACGCAGCTTCCTTTTTGAATTTTAATTTCTACTTGGATGAGAAAAGTTACAGGAAATACTTAAAGGGGCAGATAAGGAAAGAGGGCTTTGGACAGGAGTTGGCATTTCTCCCTGTCACATACTTAGTGATAAGAGTTGGCCCCGTGACATCTTAAACCCTCAGCTCGCCTTTCCCTTCTGTTTTCTTTCCTCTGCCTCCCTGGTCCCTGTCGCCTCTGAACCAGCAGCCTTTGGGGAGTCTCAGGTCACAGACCCCAGACCAAGACTGGAGACCACAGGCAAGCACTTCAGACACTCAGGAGTTGAGCCCTCCTCACAGCCCTATGTGTGCCACAGTATTGATTTGTCTTTAGTCCAGCAATTCAGACTCAGCAAAGGCTACTTTACAGTAGTCTAAAAATACTCAGCCTAAAGGGATCCCCACCACCTACCACTCCCTTCTTCTCTACCAACAGAGACCCCAGCCTAACCTGCACAGGTCAGGCACGGCCCAGCAGTATCAGTGTCACCAGGAACCCACTAGAATCGCCTACTTGGGCACCCTTGTTTATGGACTCAGAAACACCCTCAGAATCAGAGATGGGCCACATGTACCATCAGACTTCAAGTACTTTCTTGAGCCCCTCAATAATCCTTATATCATGAAATAATAATAATTAAATGAATGTAAGATCTTCATGCATTATTTGTGACACCTAAAATTTGGAAATTTCCCAGAGATCTTTCAAAAGAATGGATGCATTGTGCTCCAGGCATGCCATGGAATACTACATAGCACTGAGCAGTGCAGGGATCTTACCACCAAGGTGAAAAAAATTATGCTTGCCTTCACTGTGGGATTCCATTTGTATAAATTTCCAACTAGCCAAAAATAATACAGCACCTTCCTGTAGCTTAGAAAGAGGTTTCTTCCAGGTCAAATTCATGCCCGCAGAGCCATAGATTGACACCTTCATAAAAAGCTCTCCTTTCCAGGGGCTGGACCTGGGCCCAGACATGTAGTCCTCAGCCCAGTCTGGCTGACCGTCAGGCCATCTGTGTCCTTGACCAGGATTCGTTGGTCATGACAAACTTGGAGGAAGCTGTTGAGTGGTTGATCCCGAGGCAGCTGGGCTGGAGAGTTCGAGTCTCCACCTAGACTTGGTGTCTGTTGGTGGCTGAGGAACTCGAGCCCTCATGCCACTCCCCTCCCTGCAGGGCCCTGAGGAGGCCATCTGCCAGCTGGAATTTGGGGTGTATCACATAGAAATTGCTCCACCAAGGGCTGGAGATTTAGCTCAGGGACACCGCGCCTGCCTGACAAGTTCAAAGTTCTGAGTTTGATCCCTGGTACCAGGAGAAAAAAAAAAAGAAATTGTACCATGAATTCACAGGTGGCTGCATCTGAATTCTCAGTGGCACCCTCTTCACAGCACTGCCTGAGGAGGGACACATTCAGCGTCCTCATAACAGGGCTCCGAGGGACACCTGGGGAGAACTCACTTGGAACCAGGGGTGCCAGGAGATGGCATAGTACCCACAGCAGACCCCCAAAAGCCCAGCACTGTCAGCCCACGGGCCCAAGCCCACCTGAGAGCTGTCTGAGCATGGGCTATCACTTCCCCGAGCTGGCTCCTAGGCCTGCCTTCCTCCTGAGACGTGAGCCCAGGACCAGCCCTGTGTAGTGGGTGCACACAGCGCACCCAGGAAGAGGCATGTGAGAGGTGGCCACTGTCGCACAGGTGATGCTCACCATCACCGCTCCCTGTGAAGGACGTGATTCAGTCAGTAACATTTTCTTTTTCAAAGATGTTTTTAGCAATAGTTCATCCGAAGAGTAAGCAATCGTGATGGTAGCTGCAAGGTTTTAGCCCCTTCTTTTAACAGGTTGTTAGTCTCTTCCAAAAGCCTAACACAGAGCGTGGTGGTGGCATGCACCGGTAATGCCAGCACTCAGGAGGCTGAGGCAGAAAGATCACAAATTGGAGCCCACCCAGCCTGGGCAATCCAGCAACCTACTGAGACCTCGTCTCAAAATAAAAAGGAGTGGGGATGTAGCTCATTGTGAAGGCCTTGGGTTCAGTCTCCAGAATCACCAAAAATGAAAAAGCTCAGAAGCAGAATCTGGCTTACTTAGATTTAAAGCACGCTGGGCATGATGGCTGTAATCTCAGTAATCTCAGCACTCAGAAGGTTGAGGCAGGAGGATTGCCATGAGTTCAAGGCCAGCACAGGATACATAGTGAGAACCTGTTTAAAAAAAAAAAAGAAAAGAAAGACTGACAAGCTGTGAGAGGGAAGACAGTGAGAGTAGCGGTGGGAGCCACTGCCAGGTGCCCCACTGCCACTGCTGTTAGGGTGACTTTGCAACTTCCACGTTTCCCCACTGCAGGTACAGCGCCAAAGGAGACAGAAGCAGAATGACCCCTGTGAATGAAGACACCCTCGCAGGAGAACCTAAAGTTTCTGGCTCGTCTTGCCACACGAACACTGGCTGCAACAGAAGAGAGGAAAGTGACTAAGAATGTATATCAGGGTTTAGCAATGGGTATTTTTTTCCAGTGATGTAATAAAAAACAAAAAAGATTTTCTGTCCTCGAAGTTGCAGGCTTTCGTTGAGAGACTGTTTTCAGACATTCGTCTGAAGGATTTCAAATGCTGTATGTCATTAAAGTGCACTGTGTCCTGAAATTCTCCTAATTTTTCATTTCAAAGAATGCACTGGTTTGGGACAGGTGATGCGACATAAGGTGAGTGTGTGACACTCTCAGATCCCAGTGCCTTATGTCCAAACCAGCAATATGTGACCGCTGCTGCCGCCAGCCGAGCACAGGGAGCAACGCCCAGCTCGAATGTGGAAGTCTGAACATCCTACCAAACCAGTCATTTCCGTCAGACTTGCTGAAAAGTCAAAAGCTGAATATAAGTAATGACAATTTCTGTGACACTTTTTCTGTTTGAAGTGCTTCTGTTCTGAGCTACCCTGTGAACAAGGCTGCTTGACAACAGCTCTATTTATTTTTATTTCCATACAGTTTTTCTTTTCACACATCTTTTGATTGGGAAACTTCACCGAGTCTGTTAATAAACTTGGTTCCTGTTTGAAAATAGCCAATTTCTCATAATTTAAGGATCTGACAGGAGATGACTTCTAAAGTAGCCACCGTGGGGTTCTTAAAAGCAAGTGTGGAAATGGGAACCAAGTGCCAGAGATGTTTGGGGGGGGGTTGTTTTATAAAATCATGATGTTTGTACAACTGCCAAAAAGATTGTACATTTTATTGTGGCACCTACAGTATTGTCATGCTGTTGAAGGAAACCAGGGTTTCCTCATTGTGAGTGCTTGGCAAATGTTAACACTGTATAAATATGGGGAGAATTCGAGGTTTTGTTTTTTGAGGGGTTTCTTTTTTTCAGACTGAAAAATTAAAATAAATCCTACTATCAACCATTCTGTTAAAGTTCTTTTCAGTGCCATGTTTCAGCAAGTGTTCATTAAAATTCCTCATGTTGTTTGCCACTGACCTATTTTTCCCTGAATAAAGAAGTACATAAGCTAGGCATGGTGTTGTTGCACACCTGTGATCCCAGCAGTCGGGAGGCTGAGGCAGGAGGATTGCGGAAACTTTGAGGGCAGCCTGGACTACATAGTTCAAGGCCAGACTGGACCATATAGCAAGATCCTGTCTCAAAAAATAAAACAGGGCCAGGGATTTAGCTCAGTGGCATTTGATCCCCAGTACCAAAAAAAGAAAAAAAAAAAAAGTGAGTGAATTTTTACCACCTTTAACCTGTCAAGAGGAAAAAATAACTTAAAGATTTAATTCATAAACTCTCTCCATTATTATAAATATAAACATAATTAAAAAATCACCACACAGCTTTACTTGAGCTACATTGTCTTGTTTCCTAGTAGGTCACATCTGAAAGAAAGTATACATATTGCCTCATGGAAACTACAGCAGTTTGAGTTACACTAATGGTGATATTTAGGAGAAAAGTCACACAATCCTGTAACAGCCCATTTTTACTGTTAGTGTGGCACAGGGGAGTGTGGGCAGAGACTGTGCACACTGTGTGTGACAGCGCAGATCTGCTTCAGAAGACAGTTTGGGGACACTCTGAAATTAGTTAGTGGTCTTTTTTTTTTTGAGACAGGGCCTCACTGTGTAGCCCAGGCTGGCCTCAAACAGCGATCCTCCTGCATCATCATCACTGAGTGCTGAGATTACAGGTGTGTGCCACAGTGCCTGGCTTGGTCTCTTAGGTGTCCCTTTTCAGGGTCTCTTCACTGTGTCTACAGCAAGGCTTTGGAGCCACCTCCTCCCATTACTAGACCACTGCTAACAAGGGTCTGTGTGCTATGTCATCCAAGGGCCCAAGATAAGGCTTGGGATGGGCAATGTGTTCTCTCATCTGTCTAGTAATAAGGAAAAGTGGCACTGCAAAGAGAAGACAGATATGACATTCACCTGGGGTGTTTGTACCTCCTTCCCTGCAGGCCAGGCTGCACCTGGTGGTGCCCAGCTCCCCTGCAGGGACTCGGAGTGGCCACTGTCAAGAATAAGATGAGCCACCCGGAACATCAACTCTGCTCCAGACATGGAGGGTGTGTGCTGTGTTCGGCATTCTAATTCTAAGCCGAATCTGTGATGTCAATTCTTTCAGCTTCTAAATGTTTTATGAGTCTGTGTTTGCATTACATGATTCCATTCCTCTTGGGGAACTGGTACACGCACGTAACACATCTCAGCTCTTTTTACTTCCCTCTCCCTCCATCTCTTGGTCCCCTCCCTTTTAGCAAAAGATCTCTTTCCCTATTTCCTATTCTCTCTTATTTTGCTCTTGAATTTTGTTTCATAACATCAAAAAAACATTTCTGCTGCCGGACATGGTGGCGCATGCCTGCAATCCCAGCACTCGGGAGGCTGAGGCAGGAGGATCGCTGTGAGTTCGAGACCAGCCTACTACATAGTGAGCTCCAGGTCAATCTCAACTACATAGTGAGACCCTGTCTCAAAAACAAAAACAAAAACACAGATAATATTTCTGCTGCAGTCTTCCAACCCAGTGTTTCCCAGCCAGAGGGCCTGTGGGCAGGGTACATTTGGCAGCATAGGGATGTGAGTGGTTGTCACCCCTTGGGATGGGGAGGGGCTGCTGCTGTCCTCCGTGGAAAGCCAGGGTGCCCACAGCAATTCCCCAGCCCTAAGTGCAGCCGGGACATGTTGAGGTCAGAAACCCCCCTGGGGACCTTGGCTGCCTTTGTCACCCTCTAACCAGCCCTCCCCATGTTGGGAAGAAAAGGTCAGCAGGTTGCCCTCAGGGCGGATAGAAACAACTCCTGGGTGAACACACAGGTCCCCAGGGTCCTTATCGCAGATGCTTTCCACCAGGAACCTGCTCCCAAGGGGAAATGTGACTGCCTAACAGTGCCCCCAGGAGAAAATCCTTACCCTTGGGGGAATACTTGAAAGTAAATTTTGCTCAGTTTATTTGCATACATCTGGAACAGACTCCAAAGTTATGTTTAACATAAAATTCCCCCAAAGCTGGCATAGTTATAAGACCACCTGGAGAGCATACTTAAAATGCTTTTACCTGAAGACCCTCAAATTCCCTGATGGGGACCAGAATCTTGTTTCTTTGACAATTCCACTCACAGAACGTCTGGGTTCCTTTCAGCAGGGAGTCTAGAAAAAGGAGGAACAGTTCTCCAGCAACTGTGTGCTTTGAGTACCAGTGAGGCCTCTCAGTTCCAAACCAGAAACCACTGAAACCCTTTATGATTCCTGTCTTTCCTCCTAAGAAACCCACAGCAGGTCTCAGTTTCCTGCTCAATGGTGCACACCTGTCTAGTGTGTCCCAGGACTGGACCCTGCAGTAAGTAAACAGGGCCCAGGGTGGGGGAGATTAGCGACCCGGCACCCCCAGAGTTGCCTCACTAGTCTCTCTGGGCAACAAAGAATGGGCCCCATGTCTGTCCCAGTCTGCTGCTACCAGACACTCGCCCTTACTTCAGGTACCCTGTGGCTCCAGTGTCTGCAGACCGGAATATCCCACTCCCAACAGAGACAGACACAGTACACATACTTGAGGTGGGGGGACAGAGACAAGCACTGCACCTGTCACCTCTGCACATCTTGTGTGTCCAGACCTTTCCAACCAGAAGCAGGGCCCTGGGTGCCAGGCAGATTGGATGCACACCACCCATGACACACACTGATCTCTGGGACATGTGGCCAGGACCAGCTCACAGCACACATGCAGCCCGCAGTTTCTCCTGTCACCAAAGGTGGGCAAGGTGTGCCCCAGCCTCCTCTGCAGTGCCTTCCCAAGATGGGGCTGAGCCCAGGGCTGCTCCAGGGCCACTGTCTCCGTCACAAGAACCCCTGTGTGCAGGGCTTCAGAACAGGAGCATCTCTTCACCATGGGCACCGTGCCCACCTGAGGCCTCCAACAGGGACCCTAAGGTGGCCCTTAGCCCACCTTCTGGCTGTACTCCCAGGCAGCCTCTCCCACCTCACCGGCTCTCACCAGACCTCTAAGTCAGGTTCCCAGCCCCTTGGTTCCCTCAGTTTCTGCAGGAGGGTATCCCACTTTTCCCCACTCTTGTAGCACTGCCATTTGCACACACAAAACAGAGAAGCTAGAACCCTAACTGGCTTTGTTGGTTTTTTGTTTGTTGTTTGAGACAGGGTCTCACTATGTAGCCTAGGCTGGCCTCAAATTTGCACCAATCCTACTGCCTCAGCCTCCCAAGTGCTGGAATTATAAGTATGCATCACCATGCCCAGCAGAACCCCAAAGTTTTCTGTGCTACTCTAATCCCTCTTCTTCCTCACTACCCTAAAGAAAACAAAAATGATGGCCTTGTTTTGGATGTGTGTGCACATTACTGAGGATCTGAACCCAAAGGGGCTCTGCCACTAAGCAGCATTCTCAGCCATTTTTTCATTTAGGGAGACCCTGTCTCACTAAATCACTAAATTGCCCGGGCTGGGCTGGAACTTTTGATCCTCCTGCATCAGCCTCCCAGAGTGCTGGGATTACAGGTGTGTGCCACCATCCCCAGTCAAATGGTGGTATTTCTGACAAAGCTTTCCAGTGTATCCAGATAGATCAGCCCTAAAAGTTGTTCCTCCCCATCCTCATAGTTGACTGCAGTTTGAAACCAAACCTAGGCATATTATTTTTAGAATCCCCCTGCCTAAACTGGGAAATCATATCAGCCTGACTACCAGAGCCAAGAAATGAAAGCCCTGCCTGGCTCCCCTCTGCATCCCAGGATTCCCTCATCTCCACTGAGAGAAATCCAGCTATTCCCCTTCTAGGTGTCTTCCTGAAAAAGTTAAAGCCATCACATTACAGTGGTCCATGCACACCCATGTTTGTAGCAGCACACTTGTCATAGCTAAATCTTGTAAGTGGCCTTATGTCCATAAATAGATGAATGGATATAGAAAATGTATTCACATGCAATGGAATACTACTCCACCACGAAGAAGGATAAGGGAGGGCCAGGGATTTAGGTGAGTGGTTCCACCACCTGCTTTGCAAGCACAAGGTCCTAAGTTCGATACTCAGTATCAAAAAAAAAAGAAGGATAAGTGAGTCATTTGTAGGAAAATGAAAGCACTTTGAGATTATGTTAAGTGGAATAAATCAGATACACACACATCTCTTATATGAGAAACTCAGGGTATAAATTATTTTTTAAAAAATAAAAGATAATAGAAAGCAGTAGATAGAGCCAGCTGTGGTGGTACACTCCTGTAATCCCAGTGGGCCAGCCTGGGTAACGTAGTGAGTTCAAGGTCATCCTGGACTACATGGTGAGACCCTGTCTCAAACCCCTCCTCCCAAAAAAATAAAGTAGTAGATAGAACTTTTGCAAATGAGAAAGGAACCTAGAGATGGAGCAAGGGAGAGAGAGAGGAGGGGAAGGGGAATACAAGTTAAGATGTGTTAAATACATGTACCAATACCCTAAGATAAATGTAAACATTATGTACTACAAATGTGGCCTAATAAAAAACTGAAAAAGCTTGGGATTTAGCTCATTGGTTCTGCCGCCTGCCTCGAAAGGACCCAAGTTCAATCCCCAGGACCAAAAAAAAAAAAAAACTGAAAGAAATTCAGCCCATCTCCCACGGCCCATACCAACCGGCACTTCCGGTGAGGCCCCTGTCACTCATACTGCCCCGCTGGCAATGCCCTATCTGTTACAGGGTCTCACTATATAATCAGGATGGCCTCAAACTCATGGCCATCCTCCTGCCTCAACCTCCCAAGAGCTGGGATACAAATGTGTGCCACCACGAACAGTTCAAACTTTTTTTTTTCAAAAGAGAAAAGTAGCCGGGTGAGTTCGAGACCAGCCTGGGCTACATAGTGAGTTCAGGGCAGTCTCAACTATATAGTGAGACCCTGTCTCCAAAAAACCAAAATAAAATTCTTAAAAA